CTCGAAGTTACTATCCTGATCGGGATCACCTTCCTATTCGAACACTAGTAAGACAGCTCACCACCACCCTAATTCCTCTAGGGTTTGTATCAGAGTCACACTAGGACTCCTACTCCTACCAGGACTGGGAGACCAGACAGTCACTATATAAGCAGAGGCCAGCCCACTCACAAAGGAGACACTACATTACACCTTCACATCTGAGGCTCCTACTTGAGAGTTTTACATCACTGCCGTAGTCACAGTCTCCGACTAGACTTCTGGTAACCTCTCTACTCCCTAGCCCTCACTATACTATCCTCTTTCAGCCTTGCTGACTTGAGCGTCGAAGTGTCTACGGCAAACACCACCCCGGTGTTTCTCGTTCCCTTCACGCGTTTGTTTCTCTACGTGTGCAGGTGCAGCGGATCACTAGTGGCCTCAACCTCACGGGATCAGACCCCCCTTCCGTACAGGTAGATTTTTATGTCCACAGTAATTAAACTAGATTTTACGATTTCATTAAGCTAAAAGTATATATTAGCTCTTCAGCTCTTTTATTCATTTAATTTGAACACTCAGCTCTTGGAAGTCAGTGTAGAATAGGCAGGTCATTAATTTTAATCAAATTATTGATTTGAATTCCATTGAATTCTCTTTTGTGAAATCTCATGGAGGGCGGGTGGTGGATTACGTAGGTCAGTACAATAACTTGAGGTTGGTGCTTGGAAATTCTCTAAACCAAACACTATGAAGTGAAAAAAAAAAAAAAAAAAAAAAAAAAAAAAGACAATGAACAAGCGGACAAAGATTTTAGATGTGTATACATTTAACTTGGAGTTGAATTATTGAAATGGTGGAGCCTAACTTGAGGTTGATGTTTGGAAATTCTCCAAACCAAACACACTTTGGACCACTATGAAGGGAAAAAAAACTGAACAAGCGGACAAAGATTTTAGGTGTGTATACATTTAACTTGGAGTTGAATTATTGAAACGGTGGAGCCAACAGCAAAGGCTTTTAATTTCTTATCACAAATTCACCTAACTGTTAAGACAACTCAAACACCAATTTCCATCTCTTCTTTTCTTAACTCTCCTTTTTACTATTATCCATTCTTCCAAATTTTTTGAGGGTGTATACGGAGAATATTATGCACTTGTGTTTTTTGTCTTTAAATAGTGAATTATAATCATCGTTCATGGATATAAGCATACTGGCATGAATCACTTAACTCTAATATATACTTCTAAGTTCTGATTTCACCAGATTTCATTTTATTTTGAAGGAAATGGTGAACATGTATATGGAAAGATGGACAAAAAATACATACGTACATATATGTATTACTTTTTCAGTTTTTAACATTTTGAACACTTGACTCTTGGAAGTCAGTGTAGAATAATATTTATAAGTTGATCAATCTGTTCTTTACTTACCCTTTTATCTCTTCAGTTTTGTTAAACTAATTAGTCAAGCCATTAATTTTAATCAAATTATTGATTGGATTATCATTCAATTTTCTTTTGTAAAATTTCATGGAGGGTGCCCGGCTGATTATATGGGCTGAGTAATGCTACACTTACATCATTTTTTTATACCATTTTGTAAACATCATGATGTGACATATGTTACAATCACATAAATTCTATTATAATATTAAAAATTAAAAATAATTAAAAATTTGTATGATTATGACATATGTCATATCATGATGTAATAAAAGTTGTGTAAAAGAATGATGTAAGTGTAGTATTACTCATATGGGCTAGTAGAAGTCAAATGACTTGGGCTGATTCTTGGAAATTTACTAAAACAAACACCCTATGGACCGCTAGAAAGAAAAAAGCAACCAAAATTTCTAGCTCTTTTCATTTGATTTGAAGTTGAATTATAGCAATAGTGGAGCCAAGACTTTAAAAACAAATTTGCAGACAGTTACTTGGACTCTTTGTCTTATGAGTAAGCTGTCCATTTTCCATTTTACTCTTTCTTTATCTTTCATAAAGAACGCTTGACTCTTGGATGTCCATTTTCCATTTTAATTTTTCATAGTGAACTGTTGAGAGAAAAGGAAAATCTCTCAAACTGTTAAGACAACTCAAACACCAATTTCCATCTCTTCACCTTGCAGACAGTGCTTGCTTGCGGAATTGACTGTTAAGAAATCCAGAAGAGCGTCATATCACAAATTTCAGGTGAGGAAATTTAACACACCAATATTATTATTTATAATTTTAAAGTAGCTTCAGAATTAATTATCGTGTTTACGAACACTTAATTCATCATCATGCTTAAAGTGTTATAGTTTATTGCAACTGAGTTTGTAATAGTTCAATAATTAATCCATAGCGGAAAACCAGTTTCTCTTACTTTCACTCTCCCTGTTCTTAATAATTATGAATGGAACTTACTCTTGTATTTTTATGTATTATTCAAATTTTTTTTTTTTAATTAACGCATGCCTAAAGAAAATTACTGTTTATTGATGGCATAGATATGCAGTTTTGAGACTGTTCAACCATATCCATTGAACAAAACTAGTTTCTCTTGCTTTTGCTCTCATTGTTCCCTTTGTTGGATAGATAATCCTTTTCATTTAATTCCTTTTGTTCGAACAGACCAAACGAATCACCATGCCTGTGGCAGAGCTTTTTCTCTCTGCTTTCCTTCAAGTTCTATTCGACAGATTGGCGTCCAAAGAGTTGCTGAATTTTGTGCGTAGGGAGGGGGTAGATTCAAAGCTAACTGAGTGAAAAAAACTTTGAAAATGATTCAGACCGTGCTCAGAGATGCAGAGGAGAAACAACTGACTGACGGTGCAGTGAAAATGTGGCTGGATGATCTCCAAGATTTGGCTTATGATGCAGAGGACATTTTGGATGAGTTTGCGACGGAAGCTATAGAGCATGAGGTGAAGGCAGAGGATCGTGCTAGCACTAGCAAGGTACGGAGCTTTATCCCTGCTTGTTGCAATGCTTTGACTCCAAGTACTGTGAAGTTCAATGTCAACATGAAGAACAAGATAGATGGTATTACTAGCCGATTGGAAAATCTCTGCAAACAAAGAACTGGGCTTGGATTAGAAAGAAAGGCTGGAGCGACATCAAATGCTGCAAGGAAAAGACTGGACAGCACATCTGTGCCAATCGAACCTGATGTTTTTGGGAGGGAGGAAGACAAAGCCAAGATACTTCAAATGGTGTTAAGTGATGAGGGATCAAGTGAAGCCAACTTTTGTGTTATACCCATTGTTGGTATGGGAGGAATCGGTAAAACAACACTTGCTCGAGAGGTCTACAATGATGACAAGGTTGTGGAAGTTTTTGATACAAGAGCATGGACTTGTGTTTCTGATGATTTCGATGTTCTGCGAATCACCAAGGAAATTCTTGTGTCAATCAGTCCATTGTCCCGCGCGCTAACAACCTTAAATGAAGTGCAGGTTGAACTGAAAAATAAGATGGCAGGGAAAAAATTCTTGTTAGTCTTGGACGATGTTTGGAGTAGGGATTATGACTTGTGGGAAGCCCTAAAGTCTCCATTCTTGGCTGGAGCACCAGGAAGTAAAATAATTGTAACTACACACGACAAAGATGTTGCATTGACAATGGAACTGGAACTGGAAGTATGTTATAACTTGGAGCTTTTGCAAGAAGGTGCCATCTGGGCCATATTTGAGAAGCATGTATCTAGGAGTAGAGTTATTACTGCAGGAAAGAATATGGAATTAATTCGGGAGAAAGTTGTTAAAAATGTAAAGGCGTGCCATTGGCAGCAAGAACGCTAGCTGGCCTTTTACGTTCTAAGCAAAAATATGATGAATGGGTGGATATATTAGACAGCGAAATTTGGGATTTGCCGGAGGAAAGTAACATTCTCCCTGTGTTAAAATTAAGTTATTATCATCTTCCATCACATCTTAAGAGATGTTTTGCTTATTGTGCAATTTTTCCTAAGGATTATGAATTCAAGAAGGAAGAACTTGTACTTTTGTGGATGGCGGAAGGACTTATTCAACAATCAGACCATAAGAAGCAACTAGAAGACCTAGGCGACAAGTATTTTTGTGAGTTATTGTCAAGGTCAATTTTTCAACAATTGAGTAATGATAGTTTGAAATTTGTGATGCACAACCTTGTCCATGATTTGGCCCGGTGGATTTCTCAAGATACAAGTATTAGATTTGAGGATGAATCGAGTGTCATGCAAATAGAAAGACGTGAAAAGATTCGACACTCTTCATACAAATTTAGAGAGTATGAAGTTGAAAAGAATTTTGAAGTCTTTCGTGGAGTTGAGCAGCTAAGGACGTTCCTGAGAATAATTTGGCCACCAATGTCAGAAGATGATTTGAGTTACGTAAGTCAATCAGTCTTTCCCAATTTATTGCCAAAGCTCAAAAAATTGAGATCACTATCTTTAGTAAATTATCGTGTGATTAAACTACCCGACTCAATTGGAGATTTGAAACTTTTAAGGTATCTCAATGTTTCTCAAACTCAAATCACAAGTCTACCTGAGTCAACAAGTTTACTATTCAATTTACAAAGTTTGTTATTAAGAAATTGTTATGGTCTCAAAAAGTTGCCTCTACAAATGGGAAATTTGATCAGTCTACGCCATCTTGATATTAAAGGTGCAACACTTATAAGAGAAATGCCTTTGGGAGTGAAAAAACTAAAATGTATTCTAACCTTGTCTAATTTTGTTGTGGGTAAAGGTGTTGGATCTAGTTTGAAAGATTTGAAAGAATTAAAGTTTATTCGTGGAGAACTTTATATTTCAAGGTTAGAGAATACAACTGATTGTCATGAAACAAAAGATTCTATATTGTGTGATAAGGAAGACTTGAAGTGTTAGGGCTAGAATGGAGTTCTTCTAATGCCTCACGGGACGAAGAAGTAGAGAAAATTGTTCTTGACATTTTACAACCCCATACAAATCTTAAAGGGCTCACAATCAATAATTTTTGTGGCAAAAAATTTTCATCTTGGATAGGAGATCCATCATTCTGTAATATGGTTTCTTTGAAATTGGATGGATGTGAAAGTTGCAAGACCTTGCCTTCGATTGGGCTACTAGGCTCACTAAAAAACCTCACCATCAAAGGGATGAAAATGCTTGAAAAAATAGGCTGTGAGGTGTATGGGGAGAGTTGCTCAGAATCTTTTCAATTATTAGAGACTCTTTGTTTTGAGAATCTGCCAGAATGGAAGCATTGGGATCCTTTTGAAGAAAACGAGCATGTTGAAAGGTTCTCTTGTCTCAAAGAGCTTTCCATATCACAATGTCCTAAACTCTCTGGAAGCTTACCTAACCGTCTTCCTTCATTAGAGAAACTTGTGATTAGTGATTGTGAGCAATTGGTGGTTTCGCTCACAAGCCTTCCAATGCTATGCTCTTTACAAATATTTAGATGCAAAGGGATCATTTGCAGTAGCCAAACTGACTCCCAAATACCGAAGCCTCTTCCTTTATTGGAGACTGTTGTGATTAATAAATGTGAGGAATTAGGAATTTCTCTCTCAAGCCTTCCAGTGCTCCGCTCGTTGGAAATAAGTAGATGCAGCAAAGCCATGGTTTGCAGTAGCTCAAGTGAGTCCTTAATTAGTGAAGAATCAAATATTCCAGTGTTTAGAAGTTGGACCAAGGAGGGATTTCAGAAATTAGAAACTCTAGCAATTGTTGGTTGGGAAGAGCTCACGCATTTGTGGGGAAATGAGATTTTTCTTGAGAAGCCACTAAAAGGTTCCCAGAGCTTCAACTCTCTTAAAGAGCTATACATGGCAGCGCTTCCGAATCTTGTTTTGTTTCCAGATGGTTTTCTTTCCATTCCAACAAAAGTTGAAATTAGGGGATGTAATGCTATCACATCATTACAAGGGGGGTTAAAGCACAACAATGCACGTGTCAAGCACTTGAAAGTCGCTGGTTGTAATTCTCTATCATTCATTGTCAGAGGCCAACTACCTTCGTCTCTGAAAACGCTTTTGATAAACAAATGTGAAAAACTGGTGTGCATTTGGGAGGATACTGGTACTTCTTCTCCATCTTCTTCTTATGCATTGATGCACAAGGAAGATGTGGAATACACCACCACATCTATTTTCTGCAAATTGGAAATATGTCAGTGCCCTTCTCTTACGCACTTATCATCGATATACCAGCTACCTCCAACACTCACAGATCTTAGAATTTGGGGTTGTCCAAATCTGAGGGCGTTGCTATCTGGAGGACAGTCACCTAAGGCAGAGTCAATAGTGGAGAGTTTTGACAATTACAAGTCTCTTAGATCAGCTCTGGAGGGCCAATACACTCTTCGCAATCTTAACAATATTGAAATTTGGAACTGCTTCAGTCTTGTTTCATGCCGGGAAATTGTGCTTTCTAACAATAATTCAGAAGTTATTATCGGTGAATGTGAGAAGATACAAGCGCTACCAAGCCGCATGCACACCGTCAAATCTGTTAAACACTTGGCTATATGGGAATGTCCAAGCATGATATTGTCTCCAGAAGAAGATATTCCCACCAATATAACGTCACTTTACGTTAATGAACCCAAAATCTACAACTCACTGGCTGGGTGGGGCTTCCACAGATTCACCTCTCTTAGAAAACTCTTAATTACGAGATGCCCAAATGTAGTGTCTTTCCCCGAGGAGGAGATAGGAATGAAGTTGCCATCCTCTCTAACTGAAATGGCAATTACAAGATTCCCAAAATTAAAATACCTATCTCCCAAGGGTTTCCAAGATCTCAGCTCTCTTGAATGGTTGGGGATCGAGGATTGCCCAAATCTCACATTTTTGCTAGATTTTCCATCTTCACTTCTGCATCTAGAGATTGTTCGTTGCCTAAATTTAACATCCTTACCAGACCTTCCATCCTCGCTTCTGACACTAAGGGTTTCTGATTGTCCTTCGCTGAAACAACGTTGCAAAAGGGTTAAAGGACAAGAGTGGCCCAAGATAATCCACATCCCTTACGTTGAGATAGATGGGAACTTCATCCATGATCCAAAGGAAGAAGAATGAAGTCAATTTGCTTTCAAACTGAAAAAGGTTGAATCTGTCAGTTACCTCACTCCATTCCTATGGGCCATTCAGGTCCGTCAATTTCTAGAACCCCACAAAATTAGCTTCTATCAAAACAATTAGATTTTCATAAAATAGAGTGTTCATTAATAATTATGTTGTTCTTGCAGGAACAAACCAATCAATCTCAACTCTGGGATGCAGTATGACAAGAGTGGCAGTTACAGTACTGATTTATAAAACTTATATTAAGCAGTGTACAAAGTTTCGAAGTGAGGTAATTAGTAAAAGAACGATGAAGTATATTGCATTTTATTGTTATTTGACCATGCCTAAACTTGCAGTTTCATAGGGTTTACTATTTTTCAGCTCTGTGAAAACAGAGGCTAATAACAGAGCTCATCACATTGCACATAAAATGTTATTTAAAGCGCCATGAAGTAACCTTTCACTCTACTTGCAACTAACTCAGGCTGTAATGCTATTTTAATATTTTCCATATATTTTGTTTTTCAGTGGGAAGCAGATGATTGAAGTACATCCTTTTTTCAGAATCTGAGTCTTAAAAGCTTTTCATGTTATTAGTGAGTGATCTTAAAAGAAGCTGCGATGGCAAAGGTAAAACTTTTTTCTTATAGTCCTGTTCCTTTTGATGCCTTTCTTCGCACCTTTCTGCAAAGTTTCCTATATAATAGTAGCCGAAACTCTTTAGAGATTAAGCAACATTAAGGTTTTATTACAGAAATCCAGTTGATTTGTGCTCAGTTGACAGGTAGCCTTTCTAGTAATAATACGTGGAGCTCAATCTTTCATGAAATGGAATGTTAATTCACTTGTATCATTTTGAAATCAGTGTATTCATTTTGGAATCTTCAATCACTTTGAAGCAAGATTGGAATACAAGTTTCGGTCAAAAATTAAGACTTAATGCTTGCTGCATTCTGAGGAATTAAGCATAGATGTTGATGCAATTTTCATCTCTGTTGCTGAAGTCATTTGCTTCTTCACCTCATTGATTCTCTGAAATATTCAGGGTTAAAGGTAATAACAGAAATTTGAGGAATGAGTCAAATTCTGATATTTTCAATAGATTATAAATTTCGTTAATAGAAAAGTTTCTGATACTATGGTTGCAATATTTGGGTTTCCTTTCAGATTATCAGTTCATGCTCTTGATGAGTAGACCAAGAGTAAGCTTGATATCAATAGTCTAAAGTCTTTAGACTTGGAGCAGTTTATCAAGGTTTCATATTAACATCCAGTTGGTTTGTGTTTTGTGAATGAGTGGATCTTCTTCTAATGAAAATGGAGTTGATTCGGATGTGGACAACAACAATACACTCTTTTTGGTAGAGCTTCAGATTATATTTTCTTTTCTTTTTATTTTTTTATTTCTATATAATTGTATGCATTTGCATTTTCTTTATTTACATATGAATAAAGATAGATTAACAAACACTTCTCACAACTTTCTCTCATAAACGCTGCTGTGGCAACTACAATTGGTCAGTTTGCATTTGGTCAAGTTGGACCCATTGTTGGGCAAACGGGACCTCTTACGAGCTGACCAATTACAAGCTGACACATCGTGTTTATGAGAGAAAGTTAAAAAGAATGGTTTGTGAGTGTAGTATTACTGTTTACATATTGTATTATGATTTTTTAAGAAGGATAAGGTTCATTATGTCCCCCCTTATGTAGGTTTATCTTTTTTATTCAATTAATAAAATTTCCTCGTATTGTCAAGGTTCCTTAAAAAAGAAGATAAAAAATGATAAATAAATACTTCAAAAGTTATTTGTAATGAGACAAGGCAAATCGTTGTTTGTTTTGTTTTGTTGAAAGTTTCTATTATTGGCTTCATTAGCTGCTGCTTTCTGGAATTTGGTGTTGGCGTTCTAAACACTTTAATCCTGTTCAGCCTCGCAAAGATCAAGATTTGCAGTTCTTTCTAGATAATAAGCTACTGATGATATGTCTCCTTGTTAGAACTTAAGTTACCTCAGCGTTTTATGTTGTACATGACTTCTGAATCAAAATACATGAAGTCAAAGTTTAATTAGGCCAGTTTTTGGGTTGTACTGGTTCAAATGTCTGAATTTTTGTTGCTGAAGATTATCTTAAAACCTTTCCAAGGTTATGATTTGTTATGCCTATGGCCATGGTTTGTTGTCCGTTGCAGAAAATGAGGTGTTGATGTTTCTTCTTGTTATAAGATGGCGCAGCGAGTTAGCGTAATAAACAAGGCTAATACTCGACTATACCTTTAGAACTGATAACACAATTCTCAATCCAAAAGCTTAAACCTTAAAATCTGAAGTAAAATCTAAATAACTTATTGAATAACATCCAAAACAAAAAATAAGTTTATATAGGGTTACAACCAACCCTAATAAGACTCCTAATAACAAAAGGAAACAAAAATTAAATTGATTAAAACAAGAAAACCTGAAATAAAATAGGAAAAAACGCGTAAATAACTAAAACAGCATCGAAAAATGCCAAAATGGTGGATTTGGACCTTGGAAACGGTCTTTAACAGCTAAATCTGTTACCACATCGATGAGCTCGAAATAAGATTTCCAACGGTATCTTACAAGCCCCGTAACTCTTCCTGGATCAAAAGCTATGGCCATTTGAATGGGACATACTCATTTATGACCTTTGGGCTTTACGTATGGACTTCTAACGTTCAGCCCGCTCCATGAATTCATTTGTCAGATGTTCTACATCATAAGACTAAGGTACTTTGGTTCAAGATAGCACACATCTCTTGAGTTAATATAGGTCAGAAGTTCATCTATAATCCAGACGATAAAGAATGAAAGCATTTCACCTGGTCTCACAAACGAAAAAAGAGACTTGAATCCAATATTTTCTCAATTCACCTCTTTCTGCTATTTTCAGGTCTGTCAATTAATTTCAATCACCTCAACCGTATCGGTTCATGTTATGGATCAAAGAAGTTATTGTAAACCGTATCAGTTTATTTGTCGTCGTTGTTAACCGAAATTACAAAATCGTTAATATTAATCAACGCTCTCATGCCGTTATTCTTCTACCGTCACAGTTATTAAACGTTCTCCTCTTGATATTGTTAGTTAACATTCTACTGTTGTTACCGTTATATGTCGTTCTCCTGTCATTATTTTTATTTGACTTACTGTATATCACCGTTACACCTTTAACATTTATCACCGTTTCTAAACATCAGTCATTCATTCATTCCCGAAATCGCTTCTTGTTCTTCTCCTTTTCCGGTTGCTAATTCTTGAAAAAAAACCATGACAGTAATACACAAGTAACGAACAATCACTTCACCCTTGTCCTCCTTCACTTCCTCCACCACCAAAAGAATCTCTCAAATCCCCCACAAATTCCCCAAATTTAAAACCTTTTCTCACAACAGACCTCAAACCAAACCATCAAGCAATGGCCATCATCATGAGCTTAAAGCTTCTCAAATGGACAACAGAATCTATAACCTTCTCACCATAGACCGTTGGGAGTCTCTGAACCACATGGCCTACAAGTTAGCTTCACTCAGACCGATTCACAGAAGCTTGCTTTGATATTTCTCAACTGGGTCATGAAAAACCCTGGTTTGGAACTCACTCACTTGACTCACTCACTTTGTCTAACATCTCATGTTCTTTTTAAAGCTAGAATGTATGATGATGCCAACTATTTGCCATAAGTAAGCTGTGATTGCCGAGGTATAAAGTATTTCTTCAAAATTCGTGTTTCTTCTGATTCCTCTTTTATGCAACTATTTGCAAAAACATTCAAGCCCACTTATATATTTACTCCCAATTTATTTATGTTTCACAGAGTTTCATTTCAATGCCTAAATTTTTTAGACATTGAGCAATATCAAGGTTTTCTACTAATCCTATTGGTTTGTGTTTGGTGGATAGGTAGCTCTTCTTCTAATTAAACACAAGCGGGTGACTAATATGGAAGTACATTTCCTTGTAAAGATACATGGAAGTCAATGGTGAACTCTGCTAATTAAACTATTTTTTCTTTTTTCTTTTTCTTTTTTTTTTTTTTCTTTTTTTATTTTTTTGGTCATCGATGATATTTCTATTGTATTTACTTCAACTTTCAATTTTCTGAAAATGGGATAGCCAGCAAATTGGGTTTACAATTAGAACTCAATAGGATATTTAATTGTTATATTGATAGTTATTCAACCACTAATCCTTTTAACGTAGCGAGTTAGCATAATGAACAAGGATAGCACTCGACTATACCTTTAGGACAGATAAACAAATCTAAATCCAGAACTTAAGTTTTAAAGTCTGAGATAAAATTAAAATAATTAATTGAATAACATCCAAAACGAAAAATAAGTTTATATAGGGTGACAACCAACCCTAATAAGACTTCTAATAACAAAAGGAAACAAAATCTAAATTAATTAAAACAAGGAAACCCAAAATAAAATAGGAAAAAAGCGTAGAAAACTAAAACAACCCTGAAACATGCCAAAACGATGGATTTTGACCTCAAAAATGACCTCCAACTATCTAAAGCTATTGCCATGTTGTCGAGCTCGAAAAGAGCTTTCCGTCAATATCTTAACTACTCCTGGATCAAAAGTTATGGTTGTTTGAATTGGACATGCTCATTTAGGACCTTTGGGCTTTATGTATGGACTTTTGATGCTTAGCCCGCTCCATGAACTCATCCACTAGATGTTCTACGTTAGTCCCCTCCACTTGAGAAAAAATTGACCTCGAGTTAAGTTGGGCATCGGAATACAAGGGTTCGTTCGAATAGTGAAATGGCTAAATATCTGCCACATTAAACATCTTAGAAATTCCCATTGTGTCTGGCAAATTCACAACGTAGGCATTGTCATTGATCTTTTGCAAAATCTAGTAAGGCCCATACCTCTTAGGCTGCGGCTTATTATAAGTCCCTATTGGAAACCTTCCTTTAGCAAGAAACACCAACACCTAATCGCCAACTTCAAAAATTTGTTTTCTACGATGTTAGTCTGTAGCTTTCTTATACTTGGTATTAGCTTGCTTTAACTTCTACTTCACCTCTGCTTGAACATCTTGCCACTAAGTAGCCATATTTTCTACAATTGCACTAACACTAGGGACTTTTAGCAGCTTGATCAAGTCGAGAGCATGCTGCGAGGGCTTGGTGTACACAACAGAAAAATGAGACTTCCTTGTGGCGCTATGAGTAGCGTTGTTATAGGTAAATTCAGCTTGTGATACAGCTACATCCCACTATTTTGGTTTATTGCCATAAATACTTCGAATCAAATTGCCAAGAGTTCTGTTCACAACTTCAGTTTGACCGTCGGTTTGTGGATGAGCAGTACTATTGTAATTCAAAGAGGAATCGAACTTCTTCCACAATGTTCTCCAAAAATGGCCAAGGAATTTGCTGTCTCGATTGGAAGTAATGGATTTAGGCACCCCATTCAGACGGACAACCTCCTTGAAAAAAAATTTGGCTATTCCGTTTGCATCTGACATCTTCTTACAAGGAATAAAGTGTGCCATCTTAGAAAACCTGTCAACCACAACAAAAACAGAATCTAAGCCCCTTTGTGTCCAAGGAAATATTCGAAGCACAAAATCTATAGATAAATCCTCCCAAATATTTTCCAGAACAGGTAAAGGAATATACAGACTAGTGTTTTGAGACTGCCCCTTGGCAGTTTGGCATATGTAACATTGCTGCACAAACCTTGTCATGTCTCTCCTCAAATATGGCCAATAATATCAATCACCAACAATAGTAAGCGTTTTGTCACACCCTAGGTGATCAACAAGACCTCCACCATGCAAATCTCGAATAACCTTCTCTCTAAAGGAAATTTTAGGGATGCAAAGCTGGTTGCCTCGCATGAGAAACCCATCATGAATGTGAAAATCTTTAGCAGGTTGGTTTGTAACACACTGTTCCCATATTTTCTGAAAATCTTCATCCATTTCATATAGTTCCTTCACTATCTCAAACCCCACAACTTCCTATCTCATGGTCACCAATAAATCAGCACGTCTACTCAATGCATCTGCTACTTTATTCTGTATTCCTACTTTGTGTCTTAGCTTGAAAGAAAATTTCTGTAGAAATTGAGTCCACTTGGCATGCATGTCTCTACTAATTCGCTTTTGACTATTTAAATACTTCAAAGCTTCATGGTCAAAGTACAGAACAAACTCACACCCCATTAAATAATGCTCCCAAGTCTTCAAATCACGCACAACAGAATAAAACTCCT